TTGAGGTTTTGGTTCATCATTGTCAAGCACGGGAGATTTGATATTTTCAGCAGCTTTAAATTTTGATAGTTTTATGTCGCTGCGTGAAGTTGCATTCAATAAAAAAGAATTCTCACCTTCATTGTCTCCAACGGGGATGTTTTCCCCAACGGCGTGGTCCCCGGAATATTCCGATGCATCTAAAACGTCCAAGCTGTCAGAATCTGACACAGGGATGATCGCGCTGTCAACACGGGTCGTAACTCTAACACCGCATTTCGAACGTGCCTGCTTCAACTGACTTGCCCTTCGCCCCCTATTCTAACCATAGGCGTGTTGTGACCCGTGTTTTGACCTCATTTTAAAAAAATACAACAATTTTCAGTTAAGAAAATATCAAAAACGATGTTTGCCTGTCAATCTTTTCGCAAAGCAGCCGCCATTTTGTATACCTACCGGAAAAGACCGGTGTTTTGTTGCTAAGCCGAATGGTGCATTGTGGGATATGTTTTACTTTATTTGGATCGAACGAATATTCCCGAATGTTGCATTACGGGATATTTCTCCTTAAATGGTAATTTACGTACGAATGTCTCGCGGGAAAAACCGACGATAGCCTCACGTGGAATATCTATTTTTAGAATGTTTTTGCACAGAAAGATGGCGGAAACGATCAGCTTTCTATCGATGTATAACATGAAGGGGTTCGTTACAGCTGCGGGGGCGTTGTCATGGGTGAAAGTTCAGGTTTTTCCACATTGATTACGATCATATTTAAAAACAATACCACACATTATGATTTTAATAACGTTTTTTATTCAGTAAATGTACACAATATCGTAAAAAACATGTTGCATCACAAAGTACATGTATTATATATGCGAAAAAAATCAAAATCTCGATTTTGACATATTGAAGCAATTATGTTAATTTAAGGTGCCGTGTCTGGCCTTAATCTATCTTAATCCTTATCAGAAAGCGAGACCTGGTGACCTCAGCTATGTGCACAGTCATGCTGTAGATGGTCTTCGAGGCGCTGACTAACATCCATGCTCATTCAACATTCATCTAAACAAACTACAATAAAACCGCCATGCATGACATCATCACCTTGCTTTCAACATACACACACAATCCTGTACAATCAGTTTTGATTCCATCTCATCCACACTATGTACACTACATTTGAACACAACATCTCCAGACTAATGAGATGCATATCGACTGCCACTCCCACCATACGGACGTACATTGCAATACTTCAGCAATATTATGGGTTCACTAAAATCATTATTCATGGTCCACAGTGTGACTCCACACCATGACTTAACTCAACTGGTCCACAGCACCTGTGGTGTACATGACATGAGGAAGCAGCAATGGGTCCCTCCAGAGTTCCTAGAGTCTCTGTGTCTAGCCTTGCTAAGATTGAGTCCTCATTGTGACCAGCACAGAGACCATTGGTCTATCGAACTGTCTCTCCCTCCCCCAACTCTCCAGATGTATACACAGTCACTATCATGAGGCAGGTCAACATGTAGGGACATCAAGCTATTTCATCTACCTTCCTGTCTGCTGCACATCAGTATAAGCTAAGACATCAGTATAAGCTAAGACATCAGTATAAGCTAAGACATCAGTATAAGCTAACACCTCAGTATAAGCTACCGTTAACACCTCAGTAAATGCCTCAGTGCAGTGCCCCAACAGCCATGTTCACATCACGCCACCTCCTAGCCACATTAAGCACAACCTGTATATTTCGTAACTGGATCCAGACACCCAACAACTTTCATTTGCCCAAAAGGAGCACAAGTTCCAGGACGTTTCATTCAAGCCCTCTTCTTCATCTGCCAAGTCAACATTAGTTTCCCCTAATTCTACCGAGACAATGTGTCACTCCGTCCATCTCACCTGGACATGGGCTCCAGGTGGTGGGGTATAGTACCTCCTTAAACCCCGGTCTCAAACAATATGTGTCCAAGTACTCGATAGAAATGTGTACATCACTCTGCTGAATGTCCTCCATTGTCAGTCGCGGGGTATCAGTCGCGGGGTATCAGTCCCGAGGTATCAGTCCCAGCTCCTGGAGACACACACTGGCCGCCTGGGCCTTGGCTAGCTTCTTGTTGGCACTTACTGCTGATGACTGGTACTCTACGCCGTTTACAATCACCTGAAACAGTAGAGGCAAACACATGAACAATCACCTGAAACAATGGAACAATTGCCTCAGACAGATTAACAATCGCCTCAAACAGTGGAACAATCACCTGAAACAGATGAACAATTTCCTCAAATGGAACAATCGCCTGAAACAGGAACAATCATTTGAAAAAGGGAAACAATTACCTGTCAAGGGGGACAATGACACAAAACATGTTGAATAATTACCTGAAACAGTGAAACAATTGCAGGAAAATGTCTGGGATGTAATGTCACATAATGTGACTACCTGATTATCATTTGAGATGCCTGTTATGACTGACATTCAGCATTAATGGGCCAGACTCCCTATGAGGAACACACTGAACACCCCCCAATACCTAACGAACTGCTTGCTCCCTGCACCAAGGATGACAACGAGAATGGATCCCTTGACATCCACACATCTTCAACTCACATCCCATTCCCTTCTTATTTGCCTTTCAACATTTCAAAAAGACAAAATCAGAGGTCTATAGATCAAAATCGATATTTTTTTTCACTAACCTTGAAGAGGAAGCTTTTCTTGTGGTCTGGGCCAGATTCTTGCACAATGATGAAGTTCGGCGGTCCCCATCTTCTCTTGTTGCAGAGTTCTGTGAGAGCCGACACTGGGTGTTTACCTGAATGAAAGTCAAATTAATAATAAGCAAGGTCCTGAAACCATTCATTTACTTTCTGTTATTATTCTGAATTCTTATAGAACTGTTCCAAATACTGTAGATCAGTTTCATGGAGGATTAATTGGTATCAGTTGCCAACAAAGGAATCAATCATGGAACTGTGATCGATTATTTTCCAATACATACATATTATTTCTATGATTTGTTTGTTTTGCTTGTTTAACACGGCACTCAGCAATATTCCAGCTATATGACAGCAGTCTGTAAATAATCTAGTCTGGACCAGATAATCCAGCGATTGACATCATGAGCATGGATCCACACAATTGGGATACGATGACATGCATCAACCAAGTCAGCAAGCCTGACCACCCGTAGTCGCCTTTAACGGCACACATGGGTTGCTGAAGACCTATTCTACCCCGGATCTTCATGACAAGCACGGGTTGCTGAAGACCTATTCTACCCCGGATCTTCATGACAAGCACGGGTTGCTGAAGACCTATTCTACCCCGGATCTTCACGACAAGCATCCCTTTGGTGTTGAAGGTGGCAGCTTTGTGTTCCAGAGCATAGTAAAATATTTATGGCTTCTGCAATCTTGTTATTTTGTGGTCATGCTGACACCTGACAAGTCCTTCACACATTCCACATTAGAGGTGTGGCCACTCACCTGATAAGTCCTTCTTGACACGAGCCACCGTCCCCCCCTTCCGTGTGTTCTCCCCCTCAGATATGAGACCTGTAAGCAACACAACTGTCAATAACCATACAGGATACACACATCTCAAGCCATGCTAGCTTGTTCATATACATTTGACTCTTGTGAACTGAACAAAAATCCTTGTCTGACAAAAGCCTACAGACACAAGAGTCATCAGAAGATGACATATCCCCCCGGTCTGGTGCAATTTGGAAATGGAGTTTGGCTACTTATACCCCACTTTTGGTTCACTGCCATTGGTTACCTTCAATTCAGTGAAGAATAAAATAACGCTGTTCAGTATGTTTCAAAATCCCAAATCATCAAAAGGCACCAGTTCACCACTATACGGATCTGTGTAGCAAGTTTTGTGTAGGAATATTCAACAGGTTTGGAGTTCTGCTCCAGAAACGAGCACGACCCTCATTTTCAGTAAAGTCCAACTTGCTGTAATAAAAAAATAACAACAATCTTTTTTCAAAATCCCAAATCTTCAAAAGGCACCAGTTCACCACTACACTAATCTGTATAGCAAGTTTCATCTAGAAATATTCAACTGTAATGGAGTTCTGCTCCAGGAAAAGAGCACAACCCTCGTTTTCATGAAAAAAAATCCTTCCCCCCAAAATCCCAGATCATCAAAAGGCACCAGTTCACCACTAAACTGACCTATTTAGCAAGTTTCAGGAAGAAACATTTAATGGCTTTGGAGTTCTGCTCCAGAAATGGATAACGGATGGCTGATAGACAGACGGACAGACAGGCTGATCGCTATTTGCCCCTATTTTTTCAAACTGGTGGATAAAAACAATAAATCATGGATGACAGCACAGATATTGAACTTGAATGATGAAAAAACATAAGTTTTGACTGTCAAGAGTTGTCACAAGCTCCAGACAGTCACAAGTGACGGGAGGAGTTTGCAGGGTGCATATTCACATCAGCCAGATGTATCTATGTATCAATTTCAAAACTTGCAAAACCTCCAAGACTTCATCAAGTCCTTTGTGTTCATGTGGAAAAGTTAGATAGTTTGTAGACTTGTTAGAAGACAAGCTCCTCCTACTGTGGGTGAGGTGAAATGGGGTTTAATGTCACGTCCCAGATTATTGCACTTCTATAGCGACGTGCATGCATATGTGTGTGCATGTGGCAGCTTGTTCTAGTCCAGACTGATGCCAATTCTAGTGCTAGCCCACTTAGATACCATGCCGCAGTTTAACATGAATACCCCACTCAGACACAGTATACCAACTCCGAGCCGACGAGTCCTTGTGTTAGCCCCTTAATGCCGAGCGCCAGACAGGGTAACAACAAGTACCACCCTCCTACTGTGTTTGTTTGTTTCTTGTTTAACATCGCACTCAGCAATATACCTATTACTGTGAGTCCTACCTTTTCTATCCACCTTGAAGTCCAGCATCAGCGGCTCCTTCGAGCCCTCATTGTTCTTCCCAAGCCCTTCACCTGGCCTCCAGCCCATCTTCTCCAGCAGCCACTTCCCGATACCCCCCTGTACAGGCGCCGCCTTTTTCAGCTGGTCCTGACAACACCAAGCAAAGGGAGATAAGCCACTTTAACCTCAAAGTACAGACCACCTACAACTCTACCCAACAATGGCCCTACAAGCAACACAACCATCCTGTCTCTAGAATAGGAGAGACGGGCATCGTTTGTGACAGTGCCTTGAATGCTTGATTGACTTTTACAATATTCTAGCTGCTCAAATGATATTATTGTCTCATTGTAGAATGTTACATTTCTTTTGTTATTTTGAAATATTTACAACATATGTAATACCTGTAGTCATGGTAGTTGTTTTTATAAAAACAATTTACAAGGTGTCAATGTTGAGATGATTTCAGTTTCATCGAACATTCATAGCATGATAAATCAAAATGCATGCATAGAGACAATATTTGTTTTTTTGCCATAATTTATATGAAATTTAACACACAGCACATTTGTCAAACACACTGAAATTATTTTTGTCTCTATTCATGCCAAAATCGCTATACAGAAGCAATGTAAAAGTTTAACTCACTCACACACTCTGTATGCTAAAACTGACAGTATTTACTGCAGCACTGATGCAGCACGATACAAAACTCATTGATACGATATGCTGCATTCTTCACTGATAGTATCATTTCAGTAACTATTTCCATCATCTGTTCACAAGCTAACACTGATAAACATTATTTTTAGGAACAAGGTTAGTCCTGCTTAAAATAATATTAACATCGACTGTTAGTTTCTACCACTAAAATCACCACTTCGGAATAATTTCTAACAAAAAATGATGTCCCATGATACATATGAAGTGTCGTGATACAGATCGTATTGAGATTTCAGCATGTCATTCCAGCCCAGCTCTGTACACATTACAAACATCACTTTCATCGTCAGCAGTATCTCAGCTACATCATCTCAACCTGTCGTGGACAGGTAAACCAGTGGTTGATGGCATGAGCAACAGGTCTTGCCATCGAGGGACAATGACCCACGAAGTCAGCCGTGCCATGGCTGGCCTATGTAGGATTATCAATAGCAAACAGCCATCTTGTCCCTTCAATCCTCTTTAGTGACAACATATCACAAATGGGGTACTGGGCCATATTCTGCCTCAAAGAGACAAGCTTCATTATTGTTCATTCACCAAGAACTGAAGTGAAATAAGAAATGCATATAAATAGAATAAACTTTCTTTCAAGATCAATAATACTGTTATTCATACACACACATGAAAAACGTCATTTGTACAGATGACAGCCGATAATATCAACAGCCAATCACAAAGGCACACAGTGTGGTGAACAGGTAGATTCGAACACAACAATAGGCACTGCTTTTGAAGAAACCTTCTACTCGAAAGGCTGTCTCGACAATCAGTCACTGAAATGAAATGATGTATGTTCCTTCTCACAGCACTAACACCCAGTTCCAAGCCAATACTATAACATGATGCTCTGTCTTCTACAGACTTAATCAAATTAAATTATTATTAATAAACTTTAATATCAAAGCTATGAAACCAAGCATATTCAGGGACTTATCTAGAACCGGCATCTAACAGAGACCCAGCTTCTACCTTTATTACAGAGTGACTAGCCCAGACTCAATTATAGGCTGGTGTGTATAAACATCTAATATTCAAAATACGGTAGGCTCAATTTGCCTGCCACTTAGTTTGGAGTCCTAGAGAAATCCTTGCTATTACTTATATTAATCACTATATATAGAAATATATTATCATTAAATAAGATGCCATGATCCTTGCCTTCTTCAGGTTATATTGGTCATTATGAAATCATCAAGTCCTTCACCTTTAACTAATGTTCTGTAAGGCTAAAAAAAATAATAGTCTTGGTTCGCAGGCACCGCCCGCATCATCATAAATTTGAAAGTACAAAAAAATCCTTAAATATTCCAAGTCCAACGGTAATCAAATACTGTATTCCATTTCTGTAGGGAGGCCCTTTTCCAGGTTGATTGTACAAAATTGTTTATAGATTACAGAACTGTTTATTGGTTACATACTAGTTTGAACAACCCCCCAAAAAAGAAAACGACACCGCCCTCCTGCACTAGATTTTCAAAAACCATTGCATGAGAACCAATTCTTTTATTTTTTTAAGCCTACCATTTAAACGTATGAATCTGGAAGTGCCCCTGTATAGTTTGAAGGTAACTGGGTGTTTCGTGCAGCGAGTACTTACCACCAGCTAGGCTCCAGTACCACTTTGTGCTGTACCTCAGCACTAGTATCAACGTCAACCTACACGCCTGTGTTTTGTCAAAACAGAACCCTGCAACAAGCTTCCAGCTGGTCATACCAATCAGAGTTGTCTCCCCTGAACTACACTAAACTTTTGTTGTTCTTGTGCAAGCCAATTTGTGCGACCACTATTACAGACAGTCTTCATCTGATCTTATTTCAGGATGGGAAGTGAGCATTACCTTTTCCAAAGAGATCAGGACTAATGTCAGTTTGAGGCAAGTCTAGGAAATAAGTCTAGAATGTTTTACATGGGCAACAGTGGCATCGAATACACCAGAAGTCCTTTAGGGGGATAAATTCCTCAGTAGCTGACCATTACAGTAGTTAGTAAAAATAATAAAAGTTTGAAGATTTTCTAATATATACAATGTCATGACGACAGAGACACCTATGCAAAGCTATCAAGTTTTTGTCACTTTGGGCAAAATATATGCAAAAGATGGATGCAAAATACGCAGTGTTCATTTTCAGGGGAGACAATTCTCAGCAGCCTGAATGTGGAGAGGTGGCGGTGCGGCAGTATTCAGTGGTACTACGTCTGCCCCTGGATTCTTGTCACAAGATTCTCATCAAGGGGATCTGTATGGACGCAGTGATATCAACAGCCTGACTCAAGTGCATCAGGTTGTCAAATTAATATCTAATTTTGAACAGAACCTATTTCTAGGATGTCTGTTTTATATTTACATAATGAATGTTCATGTAGATAGTTCGGACACTGCCTCCATACAGACAAAAGACATAAGGACTCCTAGTATTTGTGTAAATCACCTGTTAAACTAGACCTCCCACCATCACTACATACATCTCTACGGAACAGATACACAATAGATATATACAGTGATATATACAAAACAGATAGCTATATTTTCAGTGAAGATAAATGTTCAAGCGCAGGTTATAAGGAGTTCATAGTTTCTGTATTAATGCTGAACGGGTTAGGTTGAGTTACAAGGATGCATCTGCATGATAAAATAGCACTGTTTCCAAAACAGAGAAAGCTCTATGTTGTACAGAGAAGCATGCAGAGCTCCAGAAGTTCATGTCACTACTCACTTCAACTACACTATCAAGTGGATAAATACATTCAGTAATGGAGTAGAAAGTTTCACTTTTTACAGAATTATTTTTATAGCTATTTGAAACAAAGCACTGAATCTAGTGCAACTGATCATATTTCCGAAAAGAATTTTATGATGAGATAAATTTAATAGTCTCCAATACAGATAATTTCCATAAAGACATACGATATGCAAGACCTTCCTGATGACCGAGACTTAAGAGATACTCTCAATTTAAAGCAATATTACAACCATGTCAGGATAAGGGTATCCATCATTAGCCTCACAATATATACATTAGCAGGGCTAAACATTATCTGTCTAACTAATGCCTAAAACAAATACTAACTGTTACATCATCATCTTATTTTTTCAATGAACCATTAATCAAATGCTTTTACCTACAAGTCGTGAAAATGGTTGTTTTTCTCTTGGTAGAAGCAAGAAGTGCAGAGGAAGTGGACTAGAACCAGAGACCATACAATAGATATGGTCTCTGCTAGAACTAAATAAGTGTGACATTTTAAAATGAGAAACAGTATTTTACATGTAAATTGTTCCGCTGGCTATCGTTACTTTCAAGCCCTGTGTGTGACAAGCGAGTCGCTAGCCTATCTTCCAACCTATGACTGACTGCCACCACTCAAAGGGAGATAACAACTATGATAGAAAGAAGAGAGGAGAGATGTAAGTGATGGGAGGCCTGGAATAACAGGTGATCCGAATGGTTCAGCCAGACCGGTAATATGCCTCCGTGTCCCCACCCACAGTCGATACAGCGACAGAGGCATGTTACCGGTCTGGTGGGTCGACAATCTCTTCACTTCCTGGATGCTCGGGGTACCTGGAATGAGACACTTTGAAGCATTCGCTGACATTGTCTGCAAGTACTGGCTTTGCTCTCTCACGTTACTATAGCTTGCAGTATTCAAACAAATTTCCTTAAACAGATAAACTTTATGTTAACCTCCTCTGAATGTTTTAATAATCCAAGAAGCTGAACTAGATCACAATCAGCCTTTTGTCGTTGGTGTCACCAGCACAACCAAACAAATTTCCTCAATGGGCAAACTAGTTTTTTTCACATTATGCATCACCAGCATAACCATGTTTAGTATCTGAAGTGATTTGATGTTCTTCCTTTATCAATGAGAGGGAAAATATTTAATATGTCAGACCATGATTAAATCAGAGACACAATATCAGGTCAATGGGTTTATTGGATTCCTAAGATCACATTCCTGTTTTTTAAAGCCATAACACCAAATAGACCCAACAATTTGAAAGGAACATGACACTCAAACAATATATATCCAAGTTTGTTTAACACAACTAGTTTCTAAATACAAGTTTCAGTGGCCAAATCCTGAAGTACCTGCCTTCCAATGTAGCCAATGACACGTTCCAGAGTGATACAGCAAAGAGATCTGTTGTCTCGTACAATGATAGTGTCCGAAATAATTGCCTACCATCCTGCCCGTGGCAAGTAACTTTCCTGTTGGGCTGCATGAAATTTTCCTCCACCTGACTATCTGGCAGATGATTTTACGACTAGTTATGTATTCAGTTTTATTATAATTCCATGTAGATTCTCAAGTAATTTGACATGATTTGTCTCTTAGTTTTTGCAATTTTTCAATACTTAATAATACTTTAGAAGGTAATTTCGAAGAAGGGCAGGCAACACCCTGGGTCACCTACCCTACTGACTTGTTGGGTTTTAAAATTATTTCAAACGCTGCAATGATACAATATGGATATGCATCCAGAAATTTCTCAAAATACACACGAACCTACATTACATGAGCTATGAATTTAAGTAGTATGTACCACCAGTACATATAATTTAAATCAATATTATCATTAAGGATACAAAAAGGTAGTTTAATTGATATTAAAGATGACATTAAAGAAATGTTTTACGTAACTTCAGCTTTGCATTAAATACCTTCAATCAAATTTAACTTAACCCTCCATATGAATTCCTAACTCACATGTTGACGAAGATGCGACAGTTTAGAGAGCAAAGTCAGTACCAGGCCCAAATGCCATCACAGGTGCATGCCATGGGGGGTGTACCTTCTTAAACCACGCTTGATTTTTCTTATCTGGTCCCGCGAGCTCCAGCTGGGAGAGAGGCTGTACTCCGGTGCTGCCGGTGAACTGGCCAGGGAGGAACTTGGACTGGGCCCACTGGCTGGACTACAGACAAACATACACAGTGTCAGGTATTTCAGGAAGAGAAACTACCATATATGTCTGCAGATAAGCCGAATTTCGAGGACCAGCAAAAAGATTCTGTAGAAATGGGTCGGCTTATCCACGGGATACACTTTCATGAGATCTTTGTTTAGCGGTAACAAAAACTAAGATCTGATATTAATGAGAGATTGGGGGGACAGGTATTCAGCTGTGACCAGTGATTGTGTGTCATGTTCGTTCAGCGTGGATCACTGCTCCAGCCACTGGTATGTTACACTTCCATGTTACACTTCCATGTTACACTTCCATGTTACACTTCCATGTTACACCATGTTACACTTCCATGTTACACCATGTTACACTTCCATGTTACACTTCCATGTTACACTTCAATGTTACACTTCCATGTTACACCATGTTACACTTCCATGTTACACTTCCATGTTACACTTCCTTACACTTCCTTACACTTCCATGTTACACTTCCATGTTACACTTCCATGTTACACTTCCTTACACTTCCATGTTACACTTCCATGTTACACTTCCATGTTACACTTCCTTACACTTCCATGTTACACTTCCTTACACTTCCATGTTACACTTCCATGTTACACTTCCTTACACTTCCATGTTACACTTCCATGTTACACTTCCATGTTACACTTCCTTACACTTCCATGTTACACTTCCATGTTACACTTCCTTACACTTCCATGTTACACTTCCATGTTACACTTCCATGTTACACTTCCTTACACTTCCATGTTACACTTCCATGTTACACTTCCATGTTACACTTCCTTACACTTCCATGTTACACTTCCATGTTACACTTCCATGTTACACTTCCTTACACTTCCATGTTACACTTCCATGTTACACTTCCATGTTACACTTCCATGTTACACTTCCATGTTACACTTCCTTACACTTCCATGTTACACTTCCATGTTACACTTCCATGTTACACTTCCATGTTACACTTCCTTACACTTCCATGTTACACTTCAATGTTACACTTCCATGTTACACTTCCTTACACTTCCATGTTACACTTCCATGTTACACTTCCTTACACTTCCATGTTACACTTCCATGTTACACTTCCTTACACTTCCATGTTACACTTCCATGTTACACTTCCATGTTACACTTCCTTACACTTCCATGTTACACTTCCATGTTACACTTCCTTACACTTCCATGTTACACTTCCATGTTACACTTCCATGTTACACTTCCTTACACTTCCTTACACTTCCATGTTACACTTCCATGTTACACTTCCATGTTACACTTCCTTACACTTCCATGTTACACTTCCTTACACTTCCATGTTACACTTCCATGTTACACTTCCATGTTACACTTCCATGTTACACTTCCTTACACTTCCATGTTACACTTCCTTACACTTCCATGTTACACTTCCTTACACTTCCATGTTACACTTCCATGTTACACTTCCATGTTACACTTCCTTACACTTCCATGTTACACTTCCATGTTACACTTCCTTACACTTCCATGTTACACTTCCATGTTACACTTCCTTACACTTCCATGTTACACTTCCATGTTACACTTCCATGTTACACTTCCTTACACTTCCATGTTACACTTCCTTACACTTCCATGTTACACTTCCATGTTACACTTCCATGTTACACTTCCATGTTACACTTCCTTGTTACACTTCCATGTTACACTTCCATGTTACACTTCCTTACACTTCCATGTTACACTTCCATGTTACACTTCCATGTTACACTTCCATGTTACACTTCCATGTTACACTTCCTTACACTTCCATGTTACACTTCCTTACACTTCCTTACACTTCCTGACACTTCCATGTTACACTTCCATGTTACACTTCCATGTTACAAACAGGTCGTAAGAGGCGACTGACAGGATCGGGTGGTCAGGCTCGCTGACTTGATTGATGCATGTCATTGTATCCCAATGGCGTAGATTGATGCTTATATCAAACACTGGATTGTCTGGTCCAGACTCAATTATTTACAGACCGCCGTCATATAGCTAGAATATTGCCGAGTGTGGCGTTAAACAACAAACAAACAAACAATCTAAGCTAATTAGTAACACAGAAACACGCATACATAGGATGTTACAGTCTCAGTTGTCATGGATGTAAGGAAACTGATCATGAAATAAGTTTTCCATTTTTATTCACCTTCTCCTGGGCTTTGTGCATAGAGCAGAGGGCCTGGACGTCGTACGGGTTTTCTGTGAGCTTCCGCACCAGGGATAGCCTCTCCGACACGATAGCACCGATGTCAATGGGCTGAAATGTAACCATGGAAACACTTGCCTCTTTATTCTGGAAACCATGTTTGATAACAGCACCAGCACATGTATTATTACAGGTGACCTGTCATGAGTGAGTGAGTTGGGTTAAACGTTGCTTTGAACAGTATTCCAGTTATATCACGGCGTGTCAGGTTCATCTGGGGGGAAAGCCAGAAGTCTCAGACATTTGTCACTTCGGTGAAACCCACAAGCACAGGTATTGTGCTGACAAACCTAGAAACATAATCGGGGCGAACCCATGCGACTATGCTTGTTGTAAGAGGCAACTAATGTGATCGGGTGGTCATGCTCGCTGACTTGGTTGATGCATGTCATCGTATTGTCAATTGCATGGATTGATGCTCATGATGTCAATCACTTGACTGTCTGGTCCACACTCGATTATTAACAGACCTGTGTCTTTTTTCACAACAATGTTCAGCCTACCTCTGCAGGGGGGTCGGGGAAGACTTTAACCCTTCTACCCTCCCTAAGCCATCTTATCTATTTTCACAACAATGTTCAGCCTACCTCTGCAGGGGGGTCGGGGAAGACTTTAACCCTTCTACCCTCCCTAAGCCATCTTATCTATTTTCACAACACTGTTCAGCCTACCTCTGCAGGGGGGTCGGGGAAGACTTTTACCCTTCTATCCTCCCTAAGCCATCTTATCTATTTTCACAACACTGTTCAGCCTACCTCTGCAGGGGGGTCAGGGAAGACTTTAACCCTTCTACCCTCCCTAAGTCATCATATCTATTTTCACAACACTGTTCAGCCTACCTCTGCAGGGGGGTCAGGGAAGACTTTAACCCTTCTACCCTCCCTAAGTCATCATATCTATTTTCACAACAATGTTCAGCCTACCTCTGCGGGGGGGTCGGGGAAGACTTTAACCCTTCTACCCTCCCTAAGTCATCATATCTATTTTCACAACACTGTTCAGCCTACCTCTGCGGGGGGGTCGGGGAAGACTTTAACCCTTCTACCCTCCCTAAGTCATCATATCTATTTTCACAACAATGTTCAGCCTACCTCTGCAGGGGGGTCAGGGAAGACTTTAACCCTTCTACCCTCCCTAAGTCATCATATCTATTTTCACAACACTGTTCAGCCTACCTCTGCGGGGGGGTCGGGGAAGACTTTAACCCTTCTACCCTCCCTAAGTCATCATATCTATTTTCACAACAATGTTCAGCCTACCTCTGCAGGGGGGTCAGGGAAGACTTTAACCCTTCTACCCTCCCTAAGTCATCATATCTATTTTCACAACAATGTTCAGCCTACCTCTGCAGGGGGGTCGGGGAAGACTTTATCCCTTCTACCCTCCCTAAGTCATCATATCTATTTTCACAACAATGTTCAGCCTACCTCTGCAGGGGGGTCGGGGAAGACTTTATCCCTTCTACCCTCCCTAAGTCATCATATCTATTTTCACAACAATGTTCAGCCTACCTCTGCAGGGGGGTCGGGGAAGACTTTATCCCTTCTACCCTCCCTAAGTCATCTTATCTATTTTCACAACAATGTTCAGCCTACCTCTGCTGGGGGTCGGGGAAGACTTTAACCCTTCTACCCTCCCTAAGTCATCTTATCTATTTTCACAACAATGTTCAGCCTACCTCTGCAGGGGGGTCGGGGAAGACTTTAACCCTTCTACCCTCCCTAAGTCATCTTATCTATTTTCACAACAATGTTCAGCCTACCTCTGCAGGGGGGTCGGGGAAGACTTTAACCCTTCTACCCTCCCTAAGTCATCTTATCTATTTTCACAACAATGTTCAGCCTACCTCTGCAGGGGGGTCGGGGAAGACTTTAACCTTCTACCCTCCCTAAGTCATCTTATCTATTTTCACAACAATGTTCAGCCTACCTCTGCAGGGGGGTCGGGGAAGACTTTAACCTTCTACCCTCCCTAAGTCATCTTATCTATTTTCACAACACTGTTCAGCCTACCTCTGCAGGGGGGTCGGGGAAGACTTTAACCCTTCTACCCTCCCTAAGTCATCATATCTATTTTCACAACACTGTTCAGCCTACCTCTGCAGGGGGGTCAGGGAAGACTTTATCCCTTCTACCCTCCCTAAGTCATCATATCTATTTTCACAACACTGTTCAGCCTACCTCTGCAGGGGGGTCGGGGAAGACTTTATCCCTTCTACCCTCACTAAGTCATCATATCTATTTTCACAACACTGTTCAGCCTACCTCTGCAGGGGGGTCAGGGAAGACTTTAACCCTTCTACCCTCCCTAAGTCATCATATCTATTTTCACAACACTGTTCAGCCTACCTCTGCGGGGGGGTCGGGGAAGACTTTAACCCTTCTACCCTCCCTAAGTCATCATATCTATTTTCACAACACTGTTCAGCCTACCTCTGCGGGGGGGTCGGGGAAGACTTTAACCCTTCTACCCTCCCTAAGTCATCATATCTATTTTCACAACAATGTTCAGCCTACCTCTGCAGGGGGGTCAGGGAAGACTTTAACCCTTCTACCCTCCCTAAGTCATCATATCTATTTTCACAACACTGTTCAGCCTACCTCTGCGGGGGGGTCGGGGAAGACTTTAACCCTTCTACCCTCCCTAAGTCATCATATCTATTTTCACAACAATGTTCAGCCTACCTCTGCAGGGGGGTCAGGGAAGACTTTAACCCTTCTACCCTCCCTAAGTCATCATATCTATTTTCACAACACTGTTCAGCCTACCTCTGCGGGGGGGTCGGGGAAGACTTTAACCCTTCTACCCTCCCTAAGTCATCATATCTATTTTCACAACAATGTTCAGCCTACCTCTGCAGGGGGGTCAGGGAAGACTTTAACCCTTCTACCCTCCCTAAGTCATCATATCTATTTTCACAACAATGTTCAGCCTACCTCTGCAGGGGGGTCGGGGAAGACTTTATCCCTTCTACCCTCCCTAAGTCATCATATCTATTTTCACAACAATGTTCAGCCTACCTCTGCAGGGGGGTCGGGGAAGACTTTATCCCTTCTACCCTCCCTAAGTCATCATATCTATTTTCACAACAATGTTCAGCCTACCTCTGCAGGGGGGTCGGGGAAGACTTTATCCCTTCTACCCTCCCTAAGTCATCTTATCTATTTTCACAACAATGTTCAGCCTACCTCTGCTGGGGGTCGGGGAAGACTTTAACCCTTCTACCCTCCCTAAGTCATCTTATCTATTTTCACAACAATGTTCAGCCTACCTCTGCAGGGGGGTCGGGGAAGACTTTAACCCTTCTACCCTCCCTAAGTCATCTTATCTATTTTCACAACAATGTTCAGCCTACCTCTGCAGGGGGGTCGGGGAAGACTTTAACCCTTCTACCCTCCCTAAGTCATCTTATCTATTTTCACAACAATGTTCAGCCTACCTCTGCAGGGGGGTCGGGGAAGACTTTAACCTTCTACCCTCCCTAAGTCATCTTATCTATTTTCACAACAATGTTCAGCCTACCTCTGCAGGGGGGTCGGGGAAGACTTTAACCTTCTACCCTCCCTAAGTCATCTTATCTATTTTCACAACACTGTTCAGCCTACCTCTGCAGGGGGGTCGGGGAAGACTTTAACCCTTCTACCCTCCCTAAGTCATCATATCTATTTTCACAACACTGTTCAGCCTACCTCTGCAGGGGGGTCAGGGAAGACTTTATCCCTTCTACCCTCCCTAAGTCATCATATCTATTTTCACAACACTGTTCAGCCTACCTCTGCAGGGGGGTCGGGGAAGACTTTATCCCTTCTACCCTCACTAAGTCATCATATCTATTTTCACAACACTGTTCAGCCTACCTCTGCAGGGGGGTCAGGGAAGACTTTATCCCTTCTACCCTCCCTAAGTCATCATATCTATTTTCACAACACTGTTCAGCCTACCTCTGCAGGGGGGTCAGGGAAGACTTTAACCCTTCTACCCTCCCTAAGTCATCATATCTATTTTCACAACAATGTTCAGCCTACCTCTGCGGGGGGGTCGGGGAAGACTTTAACCCTTCTACCCTCCCTAAGTCATCATATCTATTTTCACAACACTGTTCAGCCTACCTCTGCGGGGGGGTCGGGGAAGACTTTAACCCTTCTACCCTCCCTAAGTCATCATATCTATTTTCACAACAATGTTCAGCCTACCTCTGCAGGGGGGTCAGGGAAGACTTTAACCCTTCTACCCTCCCTAAGTCATCATATCTATTTTCACAACACTGTTCAGCCTACCTCTGCGGGGGGGTCGGGGAAGACTTTAACCCTTCTACCCTCCCTAAGTCATCATATCTATTTTCACAACACTGTTCAGCCTACCTCTGCAGGGGGGTCAGGGAAGACTTTAACCCTTCTACCCTCCCTAAGTCATCATATCTATTTTCACAACAATGTTCAGCCTACCTCTGCAGGGGGGTCGGGGAAGACTTTATCCCTTCTACCCTCCCTAAGTCATCATATCTATTTTCACAACAATGTTCAGCCTACCTCTGCAGGGGGGTCGGGGAAGACTTTATCCCTTCTACCCTCCCTAAGTCATCATATCTATTTTCACAACAATGTTCAGCCTACCTCTGCAGGGGGGTCGGGGAAGACTTTATCCCTTCTACCCTCCCTAAGTCATCATATCTATTTTCACAACAATGTTCAGCCTACCTCTGCAGGGGGGTCGGGGAAGACTTTATCCCTTCTACCCTCCCTAAGTCATCATATCTATTTTCACAACAATGTTCAGCCTACCTCTGCAGGGGGGTCGGGGAAGACTTTATCCCTTCTACCCTCCCTAAGTCATCATATCTATTTTCACAACAATGTTCAGCCTACCTCTGCAGGGGGGTCGGGGAAGACTTTAACCCTTCTACCCTCCCTAAGTCATCATATCTATTTTCACAACAATGTTCAGCCTACCTCTGCAGGGGGGTCGGGGAAGACTTTATCCCTTCTACCCTCCCTAAGTCATCATATCTATTTTCACAACAATGTTCAGCCTACCTCTGCAGGGGGGTCGGGGAAGACTTTAACCCTTCTACCCTCCCTAAGTCATCATATCTATTTTGACAACACTGTTCAGCCTACCTCTGCAGGGGGGTCGGGGAAGACTTTAACCCTTCTACCCTCCCTAAGTCATCATATCTATTTTGACAACACTGTTCAGCCTACCTCTGCAGGGGGGTCAGGGAAGACTTTAACCCTTCTACCCTCCCTAAGTCATCATATCTATTTTGACAACAATGTTCAGCCTACCTCTGCAGGGGGGTCGGGGAAGACTTGAACCCTTCTACCCTCCCTAAGTCATCATATCTATTTTGACAACACTGTTCAGCCTACCTCTGCAGGGGGGTCGGGGAAGACTTTATCCCTTCTACCCTCCCTAAGTCATCATATCTATTTTGACAACACTGTTCAGCCTACCTCTGCAGGGGGGTCAGGGAAGACTTTAACCCTTCTACCCTCCCTAAGTCATCATATCTATTTTGACAACACTGTTCAGCCTACCTCTGCAGGGGGGTCGGGGAAGACTTTAACCCTTCTACCCTCCCTAAGTCATCATATCTATTTTGACAACACTGTTCAGCCTACCTCTGCAGGGGGGTCGGGGAAGACTTTAACCCTTCTACCCTCCCTAAGTCATCATATCTATTTTGACAACACTGTTCAGCCTACCTCTGCAGGGGGGTCAGGGAAGACTTTATCCCTTCTACCCTCCCTAAGTCATCATATCTATTTTGACAACACTGTTCAGCCTACCTCTGCAGGGGGGTCAGGGAAGACTTTAACCCTTCTACCCTCCCTAAGTCATATCTATTTTCACAACACTGTTCAGCCTACCTCTGCAGGGGGGTCAGGGAAGACTTTAACCCTTCTACCCTCCCTAAGTCATCATATCTATTTTCACAACAATGTTCAGCCTACCTCTGCAGGGGGGTCGGGGAAGACTTTAACCTTCTACCCTCCCTAAGTCATCATATCTATTTTCACAACAATGTTCAGCCTACCTCTGCGGGGGGGTCAGGGAAGACTTTATCCTCCTGGGGTACACACAGTGGTACACTCACAGCAGCTGTCTGGGCCACGGCCTGAGCTGCTGTTGTATGAGTCACCACAGTTGCTGCTGCTGCTGCTGTTGTTGCCACCACAGGTGTAATGGTTGCAATGGTTGTCGTGACGGGGGCTGTTGTCTTCTCCACCGGCACCCACTGGTCCTCCTTGGCGCGGTGCTGGCTGCCGCTGGAGACCGGGAACTGGAGGCGAAGCTGGGCACACTGGGTCGCCTTGGCCTGAGGGGTGAGCACTGGCAGCTGCTTCGAGTTCTGCGGGCAAACAGACGACCACCTGACTTATACAGGGAGATATACCACCTCCATACTGACAGAGATATATACCTCCTCTGTACTGACACAGGGAGACATACCACCTCGGAACTGACACAGGGAGATATACCAACTCGGTTCTGACACAAGGATATATATACCACCTCTGTACTGACACAGGGAGATATACCAACTCGGTTCTGACACAAGGATATATATACCACCTCTGTACTGACACAGGGAGATATACCACGTCCATACTGACACAGGGAGATATACCACCTCCGTACAAACACAGGGAGATATACCACCTCCGCACAGACACAGAGAGATATACCACCTTCGTACTGACAGAGGGAGATATACCACCTCCGTACTGACACAGGGAGATATACCACCTCTGTACTGACACAGGGAGATATACCACCTCTGTACTGACACAGGGAGATATACCACCTCTGTACTGACCAGGGGTCCGGAAAATTTAAAATCCCAATCGGACATTTGCATTTAGGCCATGCCCCCTTCAAATAGCGTATTTGAGTACGACTTTTCACACACATTACAAGTTTACGTATTCATAATATGATGAATTATGAATTGTTTCAATTTAAATTGTTTAATTCACCGGACAATTAATAACAAATAATATCATTTTAGATTTACATGGAAAACATACGTTTGTTTCTTTTATAATAACGATCTGTTAACGTAGTGAACGGTCTAATTAATATTCATGAGTTATATTCATGAGTCTTCTCAAGTGTACGCGTTGTAACATTTGGATCGAGACTATTATCCCATATTTGGTTATCACGTGACCTCATGGGAATTTTTTTTTTTAAACTAAAGATTTTTTTAAAAACAAGACAGATAATTTAATCACAAATACAAAAATATCGTTGATAGCAATAGTTATTTGAATACTTTTTTCATCTGTACTTATTTATTGACCATAAAAAAATTGGATATCGATCGTCCGAGAAAGCAAAATGGCGGTCAATCAAGATTCAATATACGACTAGCTACTGAAAACAATAAAATCTGCAAATCCTCATTGTATGTCAATCAAGTGAAAGTCGTTAGCCACGACTTACAAAATGATCGTCCAGACTTTGAGGGTTTGGCAGATCCGCTCGACTGATCTACATCGGTCGACTGGCTGTCGTCACGCTTTCGCTTCTTGTCTGAGGTTACGTATCGTAGCATTGTGAGGATAATGAGGTACATCGATGATGCAAGGTATTAATGTACAGTTGTAAACACCTTTCACTCAAATTAACAAGATGTTCTCAGTAATTAATCCTCGATTAATCAGTGTCAACTCAGTTTATTGCCTATTACAGTGATTGACCGATTGGACTATCATGTAGGTACGATGTATTTACAGCAATCAAAACAAACAAAGCTTGTCAGTGTAGTTAATCGTCATTGTGTTGCAACTGCAGACAGAAACTGCTCAGTCCTAACTGTTGATCATGTCCGGTCAAAATTTAAGAATGTCCGGACAATACTTTTTAAAATGTCCGGTAAGCAATATTTTAAAACGGACATTTGAGATTCCCAATCGGACATGTCCGGCGCATATGACGGTTTCCGGACCCCTGGTACTGACACAGGGAGATATACCACCTCAGTACTGACACAGGAAGATATACCACCTCTGTACTGACACAGGGAGATATACCACCTCTGTACTGACACAGGGAGATATACCACCTCTGTACTGACACAGGGAGATATACCATCTCTGTACTGACACAGGGAGATATACCACCTCTGTACTGACACAGGGAGATATACCACCTCTGTACTGACACAGGGAGATGAACCACCTCTGTGTTTGAGTTGGACTCACCCGTATGTTCATGATGATGTTGGGGAGTGTGGATGGATCCCTCAGCTTGAAGGGGTGGTTGATGAAGGGGCCCTCCCCCTCCTCCCCATCCGAGTGTCGCCCATACTCGCTGTCACTGTCGCTATCACTGTAGCCTTTCTCAGAGATCTTCTTACAGAAATCTAAAGGAAATATCATGGGTTACATTCCTCTCAAAGTAAAGCGCTCCCTCAGGAAATCGGAAAGTGAGTTTGGTTTAATGGCCTTCTGTATTTTGGGTTATATTACAGCCTGTCAGCATACTTTTGACATTTACAGCGTTGGTGCAACCGACAAGCACGGGTGTTGTGCTGACAAACATAGGAACATAATTCTGATTATCAGTGTGAATTCAACCCACAATCATGTTTCTGACAGACCTAGACACCTGGACCCCTCCCTTTCAAAAATGCTGGACCCCGTCTTGAGTGTGTTAAATCAGAATTATTCACCAATCCTGTAGATAGCCTGAACACAGAACCCTTTCAGTCATGATTTCTACAACCCACTGGTGTCAATGACGAAACACACATTGCTCACAGAGTCCAATCTTTCCGTTTCTTATGTTCCTGCTTCTGTTGGACTCACCTGTCAGTTCCTCCACCGACTTGCCCCCAGCTTTGAGAGTAGCGAGATCCACATCCGCACCCTGTTCACCGGCCTTCACAGCAGCCAGCACATTGGCACTGAAACAGCACAAGGCATAAAGCAATCTTCCCTTGTCAACGAGTCCCTGTCAGAGTCACAACCCTAACATGTTCATCTTCCCATGGCTGACATTATGGAGTTATTTTTTGGCTGGACTTGAAACAAAGTACATTTTTATCCCAGAGTTCACTGGGATATCAGAGCATTCTGGTATCACGGGTAGCAATACAAGCATCGTTTTGTCAAAATATACCCATCATTACTGATTTCAACTCACATGGCTATTTTCCTGAGCTTGGATTTGTCTATTTTCACACGTAAATCTTTTTCTCGATCAGCATCCTTTATTCGGTCCCTCTCGCCACCTCGCTCTCTTTCACGATGCCGGTACTCTCTGTCATGATGTCGTTCATCGCGGTCTCTCCGGCGGGATTTCTCATGTGACCTATCTCGGGACTTTGACCTTTCTCTGGACTTCGACCTTGACCTATCTCGTGACCTTGACCTGCTCCTTGACCTCCGATGATGTCTGTCTGATCTAGGATGACCAAGGCCTCCATAACTCCTGGCATCCCGATCATCGGTTCTGAAAATGCAGATGTAATCATTACACCATGTAAATATTTACCAAAGAAACATTTAAATATTTTGTATTTTTACAACAAGGCTCATACAAACAGTTTCCAACAATAGACAAGGCTGATACAAACAGTGACCCGTGAAGATGCGGGGTAGAATAGGTCTTCAGCAACCCATGCTTGTCGTAAGAGATGACAAACAGGATGGGGTGGTCAGGCTCGCTGACTTGGTTGATGCAGGTCATCGTATCCCAATTGTGTGGATCAATGCTCATGATGTAAATCACTGGATTGTCTGGTACAGACTTGATTATTTACGGACCGACGTCATATAGCTGGAACATTGCTGAGTGTAGCATAAAACAACAAACAAAACAAAAAATAATAAAAAATAGTACAAACAGTTACTTGTCCAGAGACAAATGTCATTTGGAGATGTCCATAATTTGGCAAGTATCGATAGGACTTTTTACTATACATTTGTTTCCCGTCACCAATTTTGAAAAATATCTTCAGGAGACTTTAAATGACTATGTGAGAAAGTTTGTTCGTTTGTTTGTTGTTAAACGCCACTCATCACTATTCCAGATATATGACAGTGGTCTACAAATAATCGACCAGTCTGGATCAGACAATCCAGTGACTGACATCATGAGCATCGATCTACTCAATTGGGATTCAGTGACATGCATCAAACCAAGTCAGTGAGTCTGACCATCCGATCCCTTTTGTCGCCTTTTACAACAAGCATTGTCGCCCTCTTACGACAAGCATGGATTGCTGAAGACCAATTCTAATCTGAATCTTCAGGAATGCTATGTGAAAAGCCTGGACAGTACACGATCTGAAACCCTTTTCTCTCAAAAAGGCAAAACTCTGTGTCCACAGGTCCACTGGGATCTCCTAAATCTTTAAAGGGAAACAACACTCCAACTCTCAGTCATCTAGTTGGCACAGTCTTAATTATCTCGCTTAATCGTCAGATGCCAATGAACATGACTAGCATCATCACACATACTACAAAGAAGTACTATTAAACTGATGAACACTCAGAATACTTGTGTACCTTGCAGTCAACGGAAGCACTTCTCGGTGTATTGATAAATGTCATGATATTTGTTCATGACTCTCGTTTCCTTTCCCCCTGTTATGACTGACACTGTTAATACACACAACACAAGCCAAGCTAAATACTGTTGAGGAGTCACGCCTACCTCTCTCTGTGTCGCTCTTTGCTTTTCGTACGAGACCGCGTCCGCCTTCTTTTGGGTGACTTAGATCTGAAAAGATTCCAGCATAGTATCAGCGTGTGAGTCATGACCTGTAACTTATCAAATTTGGACCAGTTTGCTCAATAGTATATATCAGTATTTCAGGTAAACTGCTTATTTGTGTAATATATCAGTTCCAAATATATTGTACCAGGGTTTTACCTTGAAATGCAAAAGTGGGTGTCCAGGGGAAATAAACTAATAAATGGTTTCCTTCTATCTATCTCAAGTATAAAAAACTTGTATGTATTTCCTACTACAGTCTCCATGTTGTGTACCATGGCTATGGCTATGCATGTGTAATGCAACATGCATCATGGGAGCAGTGTTGACAAAACAAATGCAGCATCATTTGGTTATTTTCTAAGATGCTCATGCAGAATTTTCTCCTATTGACTTGTTTTTGTGTGGATTAGATAGATGCTTTATGAAGATTACATTCTGATTATTATTAGGAGGCAATTAAAAAACAATTGTTGTTTTGCGTATATGTTGCTTCGCCACTGTATAAGAAACAGATTTCAGTTGGAACTATATTGGCTACTGTCACTGTCCGACTGACACATCACTTACCCTGTTACGTTAAAAATATTAATGCGAGCATTCCAAGAAAACTCGCAATGTTTCGGTAATGTTTGTGAGAGAGGGAAAGCGATTTTGAAGCACAGAATTAAAGAATGACATTATATGATAAAGAGGTTATCACGCGTGTGTGTTTGGGGATGGTAAATATCCTGCATTAGAAATAAACACTATGTACTTAGCAAGCCTTGGCGAGCTAAATACATAGTGTTTATTCCTAATGCAGGATATTTACCATCCCCAAACACACTCGCGTGATAACCTCGATGTCCATTTCAGACCTAATCTGAAATTGCTGTTTTCATTTGAATTGTACTCCTGGAAAGTTGTAAGTACGACACTGGGAACACGTTTTAACCCCAGTAAGGGGATTCCCCACAGTGGCAGAATTTTCGTTTGGGGGATGATTTCAGCAGTTGTTTTCTATCGTCTGTTTTACGCTATTTCCATTTCCATGACTTCCAAATCTAATTTTGGTCAAGTATTTGTGATTAAGTATGCCCCAAAGTATTGAAATCTTCAAAATTGCTATGTTGATTTAACTTGCCCTTTAATATGTGAAGTCAAAGTTTAAGAAAATTATAACTTAAGACAAAATTGACAAACCATCACTGCCCTGTCTCCAGCCCTGTTGCCCCAGACATTAAGGGCACCTGTCCCCAACTAACGGTGATGTACATTATTTCATTTCACCTTGATCGAGAGTGTCTCCGTTTCTCAGAACTCTTTGATTTGTGGTCCTTCTTGTCTTCTTTCTTCCTCTCCTTCTTGTCTTCTTTCTTCTTCCCTTCCTCCGACTTTTCCTTTTTCACATCCTTCTTCCCTTCCTTCCTGTCCTCTTTAGAACTCTTATCTTTGGAATTTTTTCGTTCACCCTTAGCGCTTTTGTGTTTTTTCTTCTTTTTGTGTTTATGTTTGTGTTTTTTCTTCTTCTTTGATTTGCTCTTTCCTTCCTTGTCTGAGTTGGAAAGTGACCCTGTTTCTATAAGACCATCTTCAACTACTTCACTGTCCTCAGACTCCTCGTCGCTCTCGTCGCTGGACGAAGACAAAACCTCACCTGGAAACACACAATCTGATTACCAAAATACACAGATTTTTTTTCCTTTCTTCAACTGAAAATTATTCTGTACAGATTATCTCAGTAAATATGGAAAACAGACATAGAAGTTACTTTATTAACTAAGCACTGTGAATTACTATAAAATTCTGGCTGCCGAATGATACTTTCAGGTGCATATGCAATAAAAATAATTCCAACATTGGTCATGTTGAGGGTTGCACCCTTCAAGTCTGGGTGAGACATGCCACTGGATGATGGCGTCTGCAATGTCCCACACAATCAGGTGATGAGAACAATCAGCAATGACCACACAATCAGGTGATGAGAACAATCAGCAATGACCACACAATCAGGTGATGAGAACAATCAGCAATGACCCCAAATCAGGTGATGAGAACAATCAGCAATGACCCACACAATCAGGTGATGAGAACAATCAGCACTGACCCACATAATCAGGTGATGAGAACAATCAGCACTGACCCACATAATCAGGTGATGAGAACAATCAGCACTGACCCACATAATCAGGTGATGAGAACAATCAGCCATGTCACAGAGCCTTCCCCCTGACCCCTCTGGTCTTTAGTCTGATGGAGTTTCTGAGACCTTTCCTGATCCAAAGATGCCTCAGGCGACCAGGGCTCCTTCTAAAAAAATGACCTCTGGGCTACGACTTCCGTAACAACTATAGTTTACAACATAGACTTACAATAGCCATTGTGCAAAGAACAGAGCCATGATCCACAAAGCAGTCTTAGCTAGGGCTGGCTATCATTAAACATCATAGAGATCGATAATCGCTAACCAAATATCAATCAATTATCAATAAAAGTATCAGAGAAGGAACTTGAAGCAAATATGCAAGAAAGTCTCGAAAGAAATCTTCAGATTTCACGCCACTAGTGAGCAGCGACACATTCATGCATGGATTCTTTGGTGGACATTTCAGATATAACAATAACAGTTGACCATTGACATTATTGACAATGACAAGTCTGTTTTGGTAAATGTAAACTTTATTTCACCACAATGATTTATGTGAGGTATTATCGATGGCAACAGTTTCGATAATCGTTAATATTTCTTCCAATCAACAATAATTCCAATTATTAATCTTTTTAGCCAGCCCTAGTCTTAGCACTACATGTACTAAGGCAATTGTAACTCCTATACCTTAGGATGCAGCACTTAAAACAACGGGGCCCTGAATCTGAATGTTACCATGGTTACCAGATGTCACCTCACCTTCCTCCAACACCGCCTTCTTCTTCTGGTCCGTCATGTCCCCTGAGTTAATCCAGTCTCTGCTCTGCTTACTGATCTCAAGCTTGATCCCCCCCACTTTATCTTTCCCCTCATTCACTGCCTCGTCAGCGTCAGCCTTCTCCACCTCAGCCCCATGGCTCACAACTTCAACACCAATCTTAACTTCACTCTCCTTCCTAGATTCACTATCCCATCTACCTTTCTTACGTTCACTTTTTGTTTTCTCTTCCACGACATTCACACTTTCTTTCTTTTCTTCACAATCCCACCGCCCCTTTTTCTTGCGTTGGTTCTGTGAAATAGTGTTCCCATTAATCATGCTGATTTCCTCGTCCAACAGTTTACTCATCTCTTCCATGGAACTCACAATATCAGGGTCATTCTGGTCTAGTGTGCTCTGTTCCTCCTTCTGTTTCGAGGCAAGGAAATCTTTGAATAATTCATCAACAATAGTCTGTGAGGGAGGTAATGAGAGTGACTTAGTCCCAGCACTTGATGGATTGGAACATGAGCTTTGGGAGTTTGCCAGATTTGGTACTGTTGAGGTAGACTGATTCCTAACACTAGCCAGGTCGGGGAATGGTGCCACAGGAAGACCCTTCTGTTTGCCATCTATCGTCTTTAGTTTGCTGGCTGGGTGAGGGTGACTAGATGTTTTTGTGGTAACTACTTTGGTTACAAGTATACTAGATGGCTGATTGGAATCCTGCAATCTTCTGAGCTTTGACTTTTTCTTCTCACTTTTCTGATCGCCAGCTGTCTCCCCCGGGAGGGGAATGGCATCCAGAGAGGGGACAGATGCACTCATACTTAACTGTCCCCTTCTGCCTACCTGTAACCGAACAGAGATCCAACTGTGAAAATTGATCACGCTGATGGACAAAAGATTAAACTGGAGAGATTTTCTTACTCACCCCTCTTATAGGGAAAATATAAAGATGAGCATGAATTGCATGATTACTGAACATAAGGTGAGGCCATTAAAGTACAAATTTTACAAAATATATGAAGTAGTCGAGTTGGTGGTCTATCACCTCACGTAGAAACTATGCTTTTCGAAATGTCTGCTTTGTGCCAGACAATGTTTTGTTTTCATGCAATGCACTTCTTGATAGGCCCACTTTAAATACAAGAACTTGTGCGGACATTTGCACTGGTTTGATGTAACAGAACATGTGATTAAGTCATGTTATATGTCCATGTCAATCTCGAGGCAATCCTGACGGATCGATCTACTTTACTGGAGTGGAGAAGAAAGTAGGCTAAAGTGACAGTTGATTAATAAAATATGTGCGTGTTAAGTTATTTAATTCTGTTTACCTAAAGTGACGGATTGGAGTCCCAAACAACACAATGACAGGCTGCATTATAGCAGCAATCACATATTCACGCTTCTTGAAAACAGAAACATGGCGGAAATACGCATCAAGGTAGGTAACTCTATGCCTTTTGATTATCTCCCCTTATCCAGCAAAGCTGAGTAAAAGCACAGGGCCATGTGACTGCGAGTGTCTTTGTTTTAATTAGTTACATTGTCCAGTGAGACAAGTTTCTCACACGTACACTTTCAGGTCCCAGGTCACGTGAGGTCATGACTACGTACGTCATGAGCATATTGTGTGAAACTGAGTGAGTGAATGTGGTATAACGCCGCTTTTAGCAATAGTCCGGCAATATCCCGGCAGGGGACACCCAAAGTTAGCTTTAGTCCAACTGCCCCCCCCCCCCCCCCCCCCCCCCCGGCTGGCTACGGCACTGAGTAATAGAACCCAGGCAACGCTTTTAGCTGCCAAGATTGATAAACGTCACAGTCAAAGAAAGACAGTTAGATTTTTGTAACTGACTGGGAATGTCACATTGACCCAAACAGAAAAAACAATAGGTCTAAACAACAACAAACACTTTAGAGTTAACTAAGGCAATGATTTGAAGAACACACACAACACACTCGAAACATTGCATGCTGACCATGCCATTTGCACGTGGCTAGGGGAACATTCTTCATTTTGACACTTTAGTGAAAGTTTGTCAAATCGCTCTGATCCATTTGTCTAATAGATTTTCGTTATCCACAGTAGCCAGTGCCGTAGCCAGCCGGGGACGCAAGGGGGGCAGTTGCCCCCCTAGATTTTTTTATTTCATAGAAAACAGTTTTATTTGAATCAAGTGTGGGACAAGTGATACTTGTACAAATATTTGCCCCCCTCCCCCTGTCAAAAAGTTAACTACGGCCTTGGTAGCGGTCTATAAATAATCGAGTCTGGACCAGACAATCCAGGGATTGATATCATGAGCATCAATTCACGCAATTGGGATACGATGACATGCATCAGCCAAGTCAGCGAGCATAACCACACGATCCCGTTAGTCGCCACTTACGACAAGCACGGGTTGCTGAAGACTAATTCTAACCCGGTTTCCAGCTATATGACGGCGGTCTGTCAGTAAACTAAACTGGACCAGACAATCCAGTGATTAACATCATGAGCATCGATCCACACAATTGGTTAGTTGGTTTGTTGTTTAACGCCGCACTCAGCAATATTCAAGCTATATGACGGTGGTCTGTAAATAATCGAGTCTGGACCAGACAATCCACTTATTGACATCATGACCATCGATCCACTCAATTGGGTTCGATGACATGCACCGACCAAGTCAGCGACCTGACCACCCGACCCCGTTAGTCGCCTCTTACGACAAGCATAGTCGCCTTATACGGCAATTCAGGGGTTGTACCCATGTGGGGAATCGAACCCGGGCATTCGGCGTGACGACCAAACGATTTAACCACCACAAGGCTCACAATATATACATTCTAAGGGACCGACTATATGAATTTCGTTGATGGGAGTCTTTGATATCTTATCTTGAAAATCAATAAATTTGCTTTTCTTCGGCAAAGATTTATACCATATAACATTTCAAACATGTTAGGGCTCATGCAATCTCATTAAAATCAGATCTTAGTTCTCGCTACCGCTAAACAAAGTTAGCGGTAGCGAAAACTAAGATCTGAAACTAAGATCGAAACAATATGTTTTTACACAAAATTATTCAGCCATAGATTACAGTTCACAAACTGTTGCAGGAATGAGTGATGGTTAAATAGACAGAATCAAATTTAACAACAGTTCTTTCAATAATTTAATACATTTTTACTCGTGTGGTACTTCATACATATTTTCACAATTCTTTGATATTTTGTTTTTCATAATAATCATTATGATTAAAATGCATTAAAATGTTAAGGAGCTCAGCACCTCATGGTCGACCATCCACTGTATTACATCTCCATTTTGTTATGACGAATTCCGCTAAAAATTACCATTTATTATTACAAAATCATTTGCGAAATTTTTGGAACAAATTCCAAGCCATATAACGGAGAGGGGCGTCAACATCGGCTCAACATGGTGTATCCATGTGGTGAACTGGTGTGACGAGTCAACGCTTTAACCTCGCTAGACAAACCCACCGCCAATGGCTTTGTCGGTTAAGATTATTTATATAAACAAATGTCAAATCAGGTTAGAAGTGTTGGATATTTCATGCAGGTGTTTACCAGAATAGTCACGCGATGTCATGGTTACGAGTTTAGCCAATCGGGAAACACTTCCGTTGCACGAGTTTTTCCTGCGGTAATCCAAACTCTATGGATCGAAGCAGACGACGCTTACTTTATCAAATGCACCGGTGCATGTAAAATTAATTTCAACAAGTTGTTTAGAATTCATTTAAAATCGAGATTACGATGGGCTTAGACCCCTATTTCTCATGTTTATATTATTCACGCGCTAATTTGAACGCTGCGTTTAAAACGTTGGTATGTCATGTGCATTATGAAGACTTTTCACGAAGAGACATTTTTCAGCTTGATTTCCTGCCCTGTCGTATGTTTTCACTCTGGAGACGACGTTGAACAAAACGACATGGTAAGTGCAGCAATATGTAAGTAAACAATCTGTTGGTGAACATATATTTTATAAACGATTAATTGCTGTGGCTGTAACGATTCGCAGATGATGTGATGTTATATTCGATGCAAAACAGCACCAGGCCGGTAAGAGTTTCTCTGTCATTTTTTGTGTGTGTGTGTGTGCGTGCGTGCGTGCGTGCGTCCGTGCGTGCTTGATTGATTGCTTGCGTGCTTGCTTGCTTGCGTGCGTGTACGTGTGTGGAAGGGGGTGCGGGAGATTGTCCCATGTCGTCAATGAATGAAGCATATTATTTATTGTAAGAATACAGCATGTACATTAAACATATTGATTCTAAATTCTGTTAATGTTCTTACACCTATTATGTCGTTGGTGTTTTCAACTATACCAATTACACAATTTTAATTATATTTCAACCGCATTACGACGGAAAGACCAAGGATGGGTTTCACACATTTTACCCAATTTGGGTACAAGACCCGGATTTTCGTCACAGGAATGAACGTTTTAACATGGTTTCTCCTTACAAGACCAGTGATGTAAACAAGAGAAACCCGTTTCGTTGCCGTCATAATTATGCAGTGTTAATATACCATTTCTCCACCCGTACGAACAAGTGGTATATTATTTATCAGTATCAATATTCCAGCAATATCACGGCCGGGGGACACCAGAAATTGGCTTCACACACTGTACCCATGTCGGGTTTCGATCCCACACTATACACACACCGAATTAATTTTTTCGATAAATTTTCACAAGCTGAATTTTGTCCAACGCCTCGACACATTGGCCAACAACATATGCATACATACAGAGTATTTGCTGCGAAATGGCCGTTTTAACCATTCACTGCAGCTCTATCATGTCCAGCTCCGCTATGAAAGGTGTAGTAACATCAATACATATTTTCTCTGTGAAACCTGCAAACTGTTGCTTTAATACCAATAAAACTTAGTATTAATTGCAATAAATACGAATTTAGCTCCGTCGATTCAGCAGTCTTACTCCGACGAGGGTGTAGTTGTTTGGTGCGCTGTAAGCAACCGCAAACGAAGTACCAGTGTCTAAATAGGGAGGGTTGAGGTTAGGTGTCACTTTTTTTATCAACAAATCTTCACAAGGTGGGACTTTGCTAAACCCTGCACCCATTGACCGACATCTACATGTATACACATATTTTTTTTAAACGAATTTAGATTCAATATAATTGATTTGTTTGGAATTTTGTTTTGTCAAATATTAATCTAAAATATTTGCTGTATATTATAATGAAATTTGAAATTGCCCCAAATACTGTCGATGCATTAAATGTTCTGAAGAGTAAAGCTAGATTGTTTTTATATTTTGATGTATGGAGCTCGAACAGAAGTGTGTTACTGATCGTGATATAAAGATCAGTTGTCAAGGTCATCGGTTGTTTTGCAGTTTGTACATTGATCACTGTGGTGTTTAGTTGCAGAGTTTAGATCTGCAATGGCTCTGTGAATTCTTGAACTTATTTTGTCTAAATGGGTCGAGTTAGAAAAAGAATGTGCCATTTAGTAATACTTTTAGTGTGAAGGGATTTATGTCCAAACAGATTTACAATTTGGAATATAAACTTAGAAAATTTGGAATTAGATGCTTTTTTATATATTAATGTTTTGATCCTCTTGCTAAGTTTAAGAGTTTTAGAGTTGGCGGTAATAGATAATAGGTCAGATAATATAAGTAACGTGTTGAGGAAGGTTCCAGTTCTTGCCCTCAGGGCTAACTTTAGGGATTACTTAAGAATGGACTTTCACTCTGTGTGCGTTCACTGAAGTATGAACCTTCATAGAGTGTTCAAACTGAATGAACGTCGGGACTCGGCTGGCGCCAGCAATGACGGCGAGTACGGTGGCTGGTATGTTCCCGTGTTGTTTCAGGTGAACAATCACCTTGCCTTTACATGTGTTTGTGACGGGTGCCACCGGTGGTGCACCTTTTCGCGTACACCTGGTATCATCAGTTTTCTCGAGTGATTCATAAACACATGCTCATGACATTGTCGGAATCGTACAATCGACTCTGCTTTTGGCAGAGATTTCTGTTGAATGTGGTAAGGGTATTGTCGCTTTTATGTATTTGAAGAAGAATGGGGACAGGACTTGGTGAATTGTGGTAGGGTCGGAGGCTTCAGATGGAGACTTTAGTGGTGGAGGTTGAAAGATGTTGGCGAGTCGGACGTTGTGCTGATGTTGATGCCGAGACGTTGCTGTCGCTGATAGTACTTGCTACGGCCGATTATACCATGAAAAAATCTGAATGAATGAGTCATAATGATTGCGTCTTTTAATGTTTTGGCTCCAGCTCAGATGCGTGAAACCCTATCATGATCAGTTCGTCTCGTATGTTTTAGCTTCAGTTGTGACATCCCACTTCCTACAATAACGGGTTCGCCTTTTAATGTATTAGTTCGATCAGAGACCATATAATAGATTATATATATGGTCTTTGGTTCGATTTAAGACGCGCCACTTCCTATTATG